CTTCCTTCCTTCCTTCCTTCCTTCCTTCCTTCCTCCCTCCCTTCCTTCCTTCCTTCCTTCCTTCCTTCCTGCCTCCTTCCTTCCTTCCTAGGTGTGTGTCAGTTAACTGCTACATAACCAACCACCCCCAAACCTTAGTGGCTTCAAACAAGTGACTCTTGTTTCCTTGATGGGTTTGGGACATTCTGATGTTGATTTCCCCCAAGTAGACTTCAGCTGCAGATCAGCTGTCCTGGAGGGACCTATGAGGTCTCATTCCCAGAGCTGAGAGCTGGTGCTGTTGAGGCTGAAGTACTTCAGACCTCATCCTTCAATATGTTCCCCAAAGGATTTGTATCATTTTTGACTGTGTGTGTATTTGCATCTGTCTGTCTGCCTGCCTGCCTGCCTGTCCCGTGTGTGTGTGTGTGTGTGTGTGTGTGTGTGTGTGTGTGTGTGTGTGTGTGTACAAGCTCATGCTTGCACAGAGGGCAGAGGAAGAAATTGGGTGTCTTGATACATCACTGCCCAACAGGTCTCTCACTGAACTTATAGCTAAGCAAGTGGCCAGCAAGCCCGAGAACTCTTCCTGTCTCCCCCTTCACCAGCTCTGGGTTTCACATGCAGCCACAATGAGCTTTTTGTGTAGGTGCTGGGGATTTGAACTCAGGTCATCCTGACAGCACAGTAAGTGTTCTTACCCAGGGAGCCCGTTCCCTAGTCCCTGTCCCAAAGGTCTTTATTAGCCAGTTGTTACACCCGCAGCCGCTTGGCGTCAGCTGTGGAGGAAGCATGCACACCACAGAAATGGGCCAATGCTATAAACCAGGCCTTATCTTTTCCCGAAGTGTCATTCACCAGCACAGCACGCCTGGTCATCTGCGTGTGCTCTGCAGACCTTGCCTGGTGTGGGTGATCAGCGTGTGTCTATAAAACCAAGTCTTCAGTTAGGCAGGGTTAGAAACAGGGCAGCGGGCGTACTGTCAGAAACAGCCCCAAAACTAAAACACAAGGAGACTGTAGATCCAAGATAACTCAGCTTTGATGTGGGATACACCGGGATTAACACAGGCACATGTGCATGTGCGCTTGCACACACACACACACACACACACACACACACACACACAGTCATTCTATGTTGTAAACAGCGCCAGCAGGTCTGTTCATTTAAGCGGCCATTGCTTCTGGATGCTGCGTGTCAGACTGGCTTAAATACATGATTACATACTTCAGTCCTGGAACGCAAAAGGAGCAATCAAGATTCCTCCCCACAGGAATAATCTAGAAAGCCACAGTGCTGGAACTGAGAGAGCTGAGTCTGGAGAAGGGGCAGCACATGCTCCCTCACGGATCCATCATCTTCATAGTCTTGCTCACTGATGTCTGGGTTCTTCCTGTTTTGTCCATGCCTTCCTGTAACTGCAGTCGTGGCTGTGTCTTCTGGCGTTGAGCAGAGCAGCTGTTTTGCTCTTTTGCTCTGAAGTGTTTGGGTTGTCCCCAGACTGTCATCTTGGGGACGGAGGCGAGTGGGAGCAGTGTGGGGTGGCTGATCTCCCCGCGCACTTTGCCATGCTTCTTACTGAGCTCGCCTGGGGCCAGGGAGTGTATGTGTCAGATCTCACCACTGCCTCATAGAGTCTCTAGGCTACCGTGAGAGAGGAGGATGGGTAGCAAGTCGGTCCTCGAAGTTTCCCCGTATTACCTGCAGATGACCATCCCAGGCATCAGTCAGATCTTGTTTTATGGTGTTGCAAATGCAGTCTTCTGCTGGTTGTCCTTCCTTCGAGCACGTAAATGTTAAGGTTCCCCTGGGTCTTGTCTTCTGGCCTCGGCTTCTGCATTATCTCACTCCCTGGGTGGTCCTGGACAAGTCAGTCCATCCTCAACTGGTTTCACATGTGTGGCCTTGAACTCACAGAGAATCCGCAGTGGCATAAGAAGTTAGGCCAGTTAAGAGGCAGGAAACCCAGTGAGGTGTTTGCTTGAGAAGGCCAGGCAGGAAGGCACGGAGCAGGAAAGAGGTGTGGGATTCTCAGGGGAGGATGAACACAAGATGTTTCTGAAGGGGAGTACAGAGAGTCACGTGCTTACTACACGCCTAGTACCAGGTCAGGCAGTGTAGAGAGATGTGCTCTGTTAACGGGACGACACCATCTCTTGCCAAAGCCACTCAGGATTTGTCTCACAAGGAATTTCTTTCTTTCCCTTTTCTTTCTTGTTTGTTTGTTTTGACACAGGGTTTGTTTGTTTGGTTTGGTTTGGTTTTTGTTGTTGTTGTTTTTGCCTTGTAACCTTGGGTGGTTTGGAACTCACTATGTAGCCAAGGCTGGCCTGGTACTCACAGCAATTCTCCTGGCTCGGCCTCCTAAACACTGGCATAGGTGTGTGCTACCATCCCCGGCAAGGCATTTCAAATCTTTTAGAGAAGAAAGACCAAGTTGGACAAAAAGAGATAGGATTAACGGGAGTCCTTTCTTGGGCTTGATGCTAAGATTTTTTTTCCTCATGGTGGGCCCATTCTAACATGGCAGATGCCCTCTCCCACCCTCTCTCCTCCACCCATAGTGTTGGGTAAAGGCAGGCAGGCACGCGCGCGCACACACACACACACACACACACACACACACACACACACACACACGCCCGTGGGCGTCTGCCCCGGCACTTCCCTTTAGGCCCTGTCTAGGAAGCCCGTCTTTTCCTGCTGGTCTTGAAGGCTAATGGGGGTGTGACGCTGGAGCTGCCTGTGGACCTCGTCACACTGCCCAGCACATCCGAAAAGACGGCAGGCCGTCTCGAAGGCGACATTCTGTAGAGGTATGTTCCTGGATCCAGCCATGACTAAAACGAATGAGTCCCAGCTTTCCCCCTACACAAGCCAAGGAATTTTTTTTTTTTTTTTTTGGTTTTCCAAGACAGGGTTTCTCTGTGTAGTTTTGCACCTTTCCTGGAAAGGTTGCTCTGTAGACCAGGCTGGCCTCAAACTCACAGAGATCCGCCTGCCTCTGCCTCCCGAGTACTGGGATTAAAGGTGTGCGCCACCACCGCCCAGCGCAAACCAAAAAATTTTTACTTATTTTATTTTGTGGAATGGTAAGCAGGGTCTGTCTGTGTGACCCAAGCTGGCCTCCAACGTGCTATGTGGCCCAGATGGCTTTGGACCAGGGGTGATCCTTCTGTCTTACCTCCTGAGTGCTAGACTCCCCGAGAAACCCACCATGATCGGCTAAAAATTCTCTTTTTGCTTAAGCTGGTTTTGGTTGTTTCCTTCCCATGTCGCTTTAAAGTTTTCAATGAATCAAAGGTGTCCCTTAACCCCGCCCCCCAACACACCACTGTGAATTCTTCCAAACGTTACTTGTCATACAAAAAGCTTCTAAGGACTTCTGTTATTTACATAGTACTTTAATCCAATTAGAATGAAATCCGTTTATTTTGCCTTTTCAAAAACCGGCGATTTCCTAGTGTCCTCTCTAGTCAGGCTGGTTTGTTAACCGAACCATAAATGTTACTCTCTGCTCTCCTGCTCCTTCTTCTTCGCGCACCCTGAAATGGCCTCCCACTCCCCTCTTCCCATGGAAATCCCACCTCATGCTTACAGTCCCAATTCACACACACACTTCTATAAATGTTCTCAAAGAAATGACAGCTCCAGAGATCTTTCCCTTTCTGAGCACTCTGATACTAAACCATGCATCCTGGTCGTTTTTGGTTTTTGGTTTTCCCCACACACACATAGGAACATGCCGGGCTTCTGTAATTACTTATCTTTCTGTGTTAGCTTTGTTCTCCTTGCCAAAACTTGAGTCTATGTAAGACTGAAGGGTATGAAGCCAGGCACTTAAGGCGTTAGTCCAGATTTCATTGCTATAACACATGCATGTTGCTGGAGCAATACTCCAGGCTAAGTAACTTAGAGAGAAATCAAATTTAGTTGGGTGTGGTGGTGCATACCTAACATCTGGGCTGCTTAGGAGGCTGAGGATGGAGGATCCCAAGCTGAAGGCTAGCCTGGGCAGTTTGGTGAGACCATTGGCTCAGAAGTGGAACATTTGACTAACAGGCCCAAGGCACTGGTCTCAAGCCTCAGTATCACAAAATGAAGAGAGAGAGAGAGAGAGAGAGAGAGAGAGAGAGAGAGAGAGAGAGAGAGAGAGGTATTTACTTACAGTTCTGGAGACTTGGAGGTCCTGAGTGAGGCACTGACCTCTGGGAAGGGTCTTCAGCATGGCGTTGAGGTGGGGTGAGTGAGGTCTTTTTGCTTTGACATAGTAGCAACTGAAAGACAAGAGAAGGGAGGAGGGGCTGAACGGATCGCAAATCTTGCCAAGGATGACCAAAGCCCATCTGTGGGGACAGACCCCCACATAATCTAATACTTCTTATTAAGACCCAGGCCCCAGGGCTGGACAGATGGCTCAGTGGTTGAGAGTACTGCTTGCTCTTCTAGAAAGATCCAAGGTTCTGTGCCCAGAGCCCACAAAGAAGGGATTAGAGGCAAATGGACTAAGGTTTTTGAAAAAAATCAGCACAAGAAAGTGAATATTTAAGAAGACAAACTCTTGCTCTCTTTCCTGTAGCAAAAAGCTGTTTTAGGGGACCGAGGAAGAACGAACAGGCATTCAAACCAAAGGGCTTCCGCAGCTGGTGGAAATCTCTGTGGCCCGGGGCTTGGGAGGACTTTTGTTGTTTTCAGATTTTCCACTGATTAGGTGAAGCTGACCTATCTCGTGGGCTTGTTATATATCCCTGACTGTCCAAATACTCACTTCTTAGCTCAGACAGGCCTGAACTTGCAGCAATCCCCCTGCCTCTGCACTCAAAGTGCTGAGATTACAAGCATTTACCACCCTACCAGGCAGGAGCTTCAGTCTTGAAGGCCACCCAGCCTCTGACTCTTTTAAAAACAAAAACAACCCAAAACACAATCCACCTTTCCTTTAAATTGCGATATAATTATCTAATTACTCAGGAGGATTCCCGTGACAGACAGCGAGGATAAGAGTTCATTTGTGAGGTTGGGATGGGAATGTCCGGCAGGTCCAGCAGCTCCGTGGTCTGTGTCCAGTTCCCAAGTACCTCTCCCTGACTCCAGGAGGAGAGCAGGCCAGGCATGCCGCGGGAGGAGGCCTCTTGCCTTGTTGACTCTCCAAGAATGTCAGCCAAGGCCAGGGCTCCTGTAGTCCCTGACCACAGGGAAGCTCAGAGGAACTCCGTGCAACCCGGGCTTGGCTGGTGCCCTATGGCTCGACCTTCTGGAGGCAGATCCCAGAGACGGAATGGAAACAGCTGTTTGCCTGAAGCTGACTGGCTTACATGGTCTGAACCGTGTCCAGCTATGTTGAACCTCTAGCCCATCCACCCCTCAGGATCTGTTCCACCTCAGAGTTCCGGAGGACACTTCTTACCCTCATTATATGATGGTCCATTTATCACACGGGGAAGTTTGTACTGAAGTCTGAGATCTTTTTTTTGCCCCCTCTTCTGGCTAGTGTGCAGTCCCTACATCCAAGCTTAGCCGTCCTCTTCCCAAATTTGCCTTTCCCTACCCCTGGCAGAACCTCAAAGGCTGGGCTGGGGGAGGGTGGGATTTCCACTCGCGTTATATAAACAAGGAAGTGAAGGAGGCCTCTGTACTCCAGGACTCTGAGCATGAAATGATGTGAGTCTAAGCATTTAAATCCCTTGGCTGGGAGAAAGCATGAAAAGCTTGCTTTTTCCTACTCTCTGGGCCTGAGCTGCGCAGTGCATTTCGGGACTTGGGGTTATCATTGTAACGACACCAATTCATGCCCGAGGTTTTCCAGAGGCGCTAGCTAGTAAGCAACACGAAGAGCAGCTCACGTTCCTGTCTGTGCTCCTGGCACTGTGTCAGGGGCCTCGGTGGGTGTCTGTAATTAGGCAGACTGCTCTAGTTTTACTGCAGTTATCTCTGAGTCACAGCTTTTAAAAAAAAAAAAAGTAAGGACTGAACAGGAAGCAGAAGAGGCAGGACTCACATCCTGCGCTCTCTATTTAATAGGACACTTTACCTCATCATCTCCTAAGGAAAGTAAAGGAAACCAAACCTACTTTAAACCTCTGGAGATGTGTTGTGCAAGGGATCCTGGTGAATACTTCATTAAGTGAATCATAGTTTCTATATAAATTCAGGTCTCTCTCTCTCTCTCTCTCTCTCTCTCACACACACACACACACACACACACAGAGTTACCTTTTGGCATGCTTAACATGAGTTACAATATTTCTATTTGGGAGAATAAAGGTGTTTTCGGACAAATTAAAGAGGCCTTCATTCACTCCTTTGAGAGATGTTTCTCCAGCATGCTTCTGGGACCCTAGGAGAAGGGCAGGAGAAGGGCAGGTGATTCCCACCTTCACCCCGTGGAGTTTTCTTCCATTCTTCATGGGTCTTGCTTAGAGAGAGGCTGTATTTTATTTGTGGCAGTAAGCCACGATAAAGGAAAGTTTTTTCTTTTTCTCTCGTCACTATAATACATCTCACTGTAAAGTGAAATGAACCAAAAATTATGGGACTATATAACTATTTTCCAGGTTTGCTGGCCTCATAGAAACAACAACTGTGGGTGAAGTTTTAATATTTTCTATTCTTCCTGCAGAGACAACACAGAGTGACCTGCTTGTAATCTCTCTGTCCTGGCTTCCGAAGCCCTTCAGGACCTGGAGGGATTTTTAGTGGGTGGCTCTTGACCTCAGGGCAAGCTGACAATAAACATGAGCAAAGCTCTGGCCACAGGTCTGAGGAAGGCTTTCTTCTTGTCTTGATGCATTCCCACGAAAACACAGCAAAGGTATTTAAAATTAGGATTGCTGTAGGAAATCCAGAGTAGATGGCCACCAGATACACACAGAGCATCAGTGCAGTCCCATACTAAATAATCAACAGGTGCTTGCTGAATGAGTATTTGTGAACTCACCCTATATTCAGAAAATTAAGACAGCCCTGAAATACATCCTGGACTCCACAGGTTTTCAGCTAACCTTAGTCTTCTGTTTTTTGATACACAATGAAGTGGGAAACAGCTAAGACTTTCCTGGCTCTATCTGCTTTTCTCCTTTATTCTCTGTCATTTCAGTTTCTGCTCTCATGTCCAAGGACCTGAGACTGCACAGAAAACCCATGCCTGTGGTGCAGGATGCACAGGACATATTAATAATGCCTGTCAACTCCGCGGGCTCCCAGGAACCTCCAGCGAAGCTCTATGATGGGAGTCCAGGATGGATGGTATGAAGGACTTTTTGAAAATGCTTCCTGGCCCAAAAAAGGTGGTAAAGGTTTAACGAGCACCGTGAAGAAATGTATTTAAGTTAATAAAGCCTTTTATTGAGTGTTTACTGTGTATGACTACGCGCTTTGTGTCTATTAAGTCTTTTCATCTTCAACAAAACAACCCTGTAAAGAAGTTACAGCCGAAATCCCCACCTTCCAAATGAAACAACTGAGGCAGAGGGGCAGCTCAGTAGCTTGGCTAGGGTACACGCAAGACAGGGTTTAAAGCCTCGCCAGCCTGGCACCAGGGCACCGATGCTCTGCCACTCTGTGTGCTGACTCCGGATTGGAGAGGACTTGATTGTTCTCTGGCTTGTAGGACGTGAGGTTACGTCTGTTTCGTTTGCCTCCCACACTCCAGCATCAGAACTGAACACAAGGGATCTAAAATGCTGAAAATAACATCTTGAAAAGGTTGTGTGCTTTGTTCTTACTAAACCTATCGTCTGTTCAGTCTTTTCAAAATCAAACTATTGGTACAGCAGCAACATGTCATCATCCAGCTGGGAAACAGAGGTGAATAAACAATTCTATCTGGTAGTGTTTCCGCTGAGAACCCCCCTCCAACCCCTGACTTCTACCCTCTCCACTCCCACCCTCAGGCTAGAGATGAGTCTTAGAGTCACTGCTCAGGGTCCATCCAACATTTTTTTATTTGTTTGTTTTTGAGATAGGGTCTGTAAAGAAGTCTGGAGGTGGGCTGGAGAGTTGTCTCAGTGGTTAAGAGCACTAGCTGCTCTTCCAGAAGGCCCCGGGGTTCAATTCTCAGCACCCACATGGCAGCTCACAACTATCTGTAACTCCAGCTCCAGGAGGTCTGGCACCCTCATACAGATAGACATGCAGGGAAAACACCAATGCACATTAAAAATAAATAAAATTTTAAAAAAAGATGTCTGGAGGGAGATGAAGCACATGGACACTTCTTTCCAGTGGGAGCTACAGAAAGCCAATGGGATGAACCGTGCCCAGGACTGCTCCATGGCAGGAATTCTAGTATGTGGGTTGCTGAGGGGTTAAAAAAGGACAGAGGCTTGTGGAAGCCATGCTGCTTTTATCAGTAGTTGCCCGGAAGTCCCTGAGCCTTTCACACAGTCTGCTTCCTCTGGTGTATTAAGTTATGGGTTGCCAGTTGAAAGTCCTATTTTAATAATTGAATCAGCTTTCTGGTCTCTGTTCTTCTACAGTGAGGCACACAGCCAGAAAAGGAAACTACGTAGATAAAGCATTTGCGATACAAATATGAGAAAGGGAGTTTGGATCCCCAGAACCCGTGTTAAAATAGGGTGATTACGTCTGCTTGCTTGTAATCCCAGTGCTCAGTGCTTGGGAGGCAGAGACTGGGAACGGCCAGGGCAAGCGAGCTAGCCAGGCTAAGCTGAACTCGGGGGTTAGGGGTGGCTCCAGATTCGGTGAGAGGCCCTGCCTCAGTAAAGAGTGATCAAGGTGACATCCAATATCGACCTCTGTCCTTCTTCACACGTGTGCACTAGCACACACATGTACCCTTCCACAGGCCAACATGAATACACACATGCAAGCACATTGCACATGGTGGTGGTGGGGGTTAACTGCATCCTTTAACAGCATTGAAGAGGAATTTGCAAGGCCACTGTTCTTGCTTCTGCCCGGGGATTAGGACTCTGGTGTTTTAGTGACCAGACACTCTGTGTTGTGATGTGCCTTCGGTCCCCTGCTCTTACCTGTGAGCATGCATGATCTGAAGTCCATGTTTTCACTTCTGAGTTACATCTGTTCATGGTCCTGTTTTTCAGCAGGACCAAAAAAAAAAAAAAAAATCCAATTGAAATGATTTTTTTCTCACTGACTCTAAACAGAATTAGTTTATTTGTGTTTTGGCAGACTGCTGCTTCTATGGGCCTGTCTTGTGTTTCGACCCCAACATGGTTTATTTTATATCTCAAACTTCTATTCCAGTGATTACATCTGATTTATTTTGTGTGTCAGTCTAACTGCTAAGTATATG